TAGGGACCGCAGACCAATTTTCGAAAATTTTTTTTCAGCATTGAGCTTTGCATGGTTTGATAGCTGTTTCGATTCGAAACTCAGAACCGTTTAGTTTTTCGGAAAAGAATGAGGATGAAAAAAGTTATGACGAAAAATGTGGCGCGCCGCGCACCATTTTTTTAGTACTGAAATTTTGGTGTTATCCATTTTAGACATTTTTCTCGATTTTTCTTTTAGAACAAGTTTTGATACTGGTCTATTATGATGTAAGAAATCATAATAGAGCTCTATAATGATGAAAATTAGCTAGTTTGCCGAAAAAGTCGGTATTTTCCAGAAAACAAAAAACTGACGCTTGCGGGTATCGAACTCGCGACCTCAAAATGAAAAATCGCAGCGCACGCGCTGCGCCAAGTTGTTAGGTCTGGCGAGGGGAACTTCCATCCGCCATAGCCTTGAGCCGTTTGAATAGCACAGATTGCCTATTTCAAAAAAATAAAAAAATTTGAAGTAATTCAGCTATTTTTTTATCAGAATATGTTCGCAAATCTTTACTCAAATTTTTCCGTGGAAATTCACTTCGAAAAAAACAGTTTTTTTCAGTGCTTTTTTTGCCTCGTTTAACGATCACTGCATTAAAAACGGCCCCGTAAATTTTTTTGGCAAAGACGAATTTTTTTATTTTATTCTTTTTAATTGAAAGATTTTTTTACTAATAAATGTATATAATCGTTTGAAAAAAACCTGCGTTCGACCGCTTTCTGTGTGATAAACGCCGCTAATTTTATTCTCTATTTTCAAGTGCATTTTTTTGCGTATTAAACAACTTTTTTTCCAGCACATATGCTGTGGAGAAAAAAATTTAAGTAAGCCTATGGTCTAACTTTTGAAAAAAACAAAAAAACTCGATTATATTCGCTTATTAACGATATTTTTGAATTATGACTTTCGGCACTCCCTAAAAATTTTTTTGGCAAAGACGAATTTTTTTATTTTATTGTTTTAAAATTACCGTTACTTGAATCAAAAATCATTATATAAAAAAAGAAAGAGTGCGTTCGACCTGAAAAACACATGAAAAAAAGCAAAAAAATGACAAAATTTTTTTAGTTCCATTCACGTTTTTTTGTACGACATTCCGCGAGAACGCATCAAAAAAAGCGTGAAATATTTTTTTAAAACGAAAGAGGAAGCTTTTTCTGTACATGTGTGTCAAATTTTATTCGCCAGTTCCACATATTTTACAACTACAACAAAATGAAAGTTGAAAACCAAAAAAAGCCACTTTTTTTCTATCGCGAAAAAGGGGCGTGGCTTTGCGGTCCCTATCTTAGAGAGCTCATTGATGAACTGAAATTTGAAAAAAAATGCCCAATTTTCTAGAATTTCGATTTTTTTTTTCTCATTTTTTCCGCCCTTTCCTATTTGAAGCTGAAGATTTTCCATTTTTCCAAATATTTTTTTCAAAATTTCAAAGCCTTAACTTTGATTTTTATCCTTTGAAAAGGCCTAAAAGACCTCTAAACTGAGAAAAATTGGTGAGAATCGAAAATCTCCCACTTCTTGACAATTTAGGCTTTATTATTTTTATTCTATCACTTCTAAGTTTTGAGATATACGGATTTTTAGCTCTCGAAAATCCTCGGAGTTTGACGATTTTCGACCTTTTTCCGCCATTTTTCTGTCGAAAACTTTGAATACACAATTCCTCCAAACAAAGTATACTGGTATCAAATTTCAAGTGTTCTTCTAAGCCCTCCAAAAAGAGGAAAAAAAAATAAAACTAGTGAAGCCACCCTCCTGCGAGCTTATCGATTTCGGCTGAAGAAACAGCTGAGACTCGTTATTTTCATCCCTTTTTTTCGTGGTTTTTAAGTGGTTTTTTGATTAGTTTGAAAGTGCGAACGCTTTTTTCATATCTGGATTTTATGGGAGTACTCTGTGATTTTTTTCGAAAGGTTTATTCAAAAAAATTGGGACATTTATTGGAGGAAAAAAAGGATTTTTTTGTGCCTATCTGATTCAAATAAATCAGACTAGTTTGTTAGAAAAAAACTTTTTTTGATGGATAAAAAAATCTGAGGTCTAGAAAAAGTCATCAGAATTTTCGATAGGGACTATATGGTCTATGAAAAATAATGAAATAAATTTTGAGATTTTTTTGTGTGGCGAAGTTGCTAAAAAGGAAGGTCGTTTTACTTTTGAAATTTAGAATTTCTTGAAATTTGGCCAGAAAAACTTCTTGATGAACCAGGAAAAGTTCCTGAAAGTCTCAACCTGCAAAAAAATTAATAGTTTTTCAAAAAAATAAGGGTTCAAAGTTCAAAAATGGCCTTTTTAACGGATTTCGAGGGTTTTCTTTGATTTTGAAGCGTCCTTTTTCGAAAACTAACAATTTTCGCAGGTTGAGACTTTCAAAATCTTATTCTAGTGCATCAAGAAGTATTTTGGCCAATTTTCAGGAAAATCCCAACTTTAAAGTGAGGAGAAGCCCAAATCAAAAAGTTTCAAATTTCGATTTTTCAGAAATTCAACAGTTTCTCACTGATTTTTCTCATCCACAACCTTGAAAAATATTCTGAACAAAAAAATATTCAATATAGACGCCCTGAGGCGTCGGAAGCTTGTTAGGTTGTGAATATATATGTCCCATTCTCTATTTTTCGCCTCTTGCCTCTCATTTTTCTCACTCGTTTTTCCATCTCTTGGGACCCTCCCCACCATGCATTTTTCACTAATATGGGTGGCTTTTTACCACAAAAAAGTGGGTTTTTGTGGAAAGTTTTGGGAATATTTGTGGCTGGAATTGTTGGATGAATTCTCTGTGATATTAAGCGATTTATGAGGAGATTTCAAGCAATTTGAGAAATTTGGAAAGGAAAACTGAAGTTCAAGATGGAAAAATGAAAAATATGTTGCTGGAATAGATGGTTTTCTCAAGATTTATCTTTCAAAATTGGCGATTTTTCGGGAATTTCCGAGCGATTTGAGACTTTTTCGAGAATTTTACGATGATAAAATCGTTGATATTTGAATTCGCTGTTGATTTTACAAGTTAAGTCCTGATTTTCTATGCGATTTTGAGCTTTTTTTATATGAATTTTTCATCATAAATATCAATAATTTTGTGGATTTTTTTGCGAATTTTTGTTTGAAATTGGTTTTCCAGGTGTTTTTCAACGATTTCTTCTTTTTTTAGATAGGAAAAATAGCGATTTTTCACCCAAATATAGCATTCTTTTTCGATGTATTTTGTAGATTTTAGTATTTATTTTGTTTTTAATAATTCTTTATAATTGAGTTTTTTTACTGCTATTTCCTAGCCATTTGGTAATTTTTCACGAAATTCTCAATTTTTGAATGATAACTCTCCGCGCCCTTTCCTCACTCCGCGCCCTTTCCTCACTCCGCGCCCTTTCCTCACTCCGCGCCCTTTCCTCACTCCGCGCCCTTTCCTCACTCCGCGCCCTTTCCTCACTCCGCGCCCTTTCCTCACTCCGCGCCCTTTCCTCACTCCGCGCCCTTTCCTCACTCCGCGCCCTTTCCTCACTCCGCGCCCTTTCCTCACTCCGCGCCCTTTCCTCACTCCGCGCCCTTTCCTCACTCCGCGCCCTTTCCTCACTCCGCGCCCTTTCCTCACTCCGCGCCCTTTCCTCACGGCGAGCGGTCGGTTATCTGGCGCTATGGCCAAACGTCCACGTGATGCTGATTCTCATCAATTTTATTCATCCAGTGGCAATCACTATAACTCGAATTCGCCTGCTCAACCGCCCGAGCCTTCCAACGACATCTATCAATCAGTCGCGTCACTCAGTGATCGTCTTTCTTCCATTGAAGCTCTTCTTGCTCAATTACTTGGCTCTCCGAACTCATCCTCGATGGCCCATCCTCACGCAAATCGTCAGTACAACCGTTCCGGCGCCTCATCTCGATTTGACGACTCGGTTCGAAACATCCTCGATACTGTCCCTGGGTATCACGAAGCCTCTCGCGACATCCTCATCGCCAGAACTGCTTCTCAGATGGCTGCAAAAAGCTGCTACTCTGTCATCGAGCGCGTGCCGGATTCTCACAATCATAACCAGGACGATTTCGACAGGCAGTTCGTAAACGATATAACTCGAACACTCAACCTACCCGACGCGATCTCGGTCTTCCGTCACGACTGTCAAAAATCACTGCCGTCCCTTGAAAGTCTCCTTTCCTACCTCCAAAGACAGAGATCGTTTCATTGAGGGCTTCTACAGTGCATTTTTTTGCCTCCTCACACCCATCTTCTCCGCTCTTTTCGGGTCAACCTAATCCCAGAATTAGAAGAGACATGACACAAATGGAGCTGAATCTTTTATACTCTCTCCGTCGTACAGCCTACGAAAATAACGCGGCAATCGGTCTTCATAAATACGTCGTCAGGGATCTCACTATCATCGAGTTGAAGAATCCCAAGCCTTTCCAAGGTCACCCTAAACAAACACAAACACCTATGACCTCGCCCTTGGCAAAGAGGCCTCGACACACCAACATCAACATCAGTCCAGCGCCGACACATATGCAGATCGATAGCAATATCTCTGCCGATACACTCCACTCGAATGTCTCAGCTCCGGCCGCACCTCGCGGTCGTGTTCGTGGTCGCGGTCGTGGTCGTGGTCGTGGTCGCCCTCGTGGTCCTCGTCTCTTCTCGTCTGTTCTTCGTCCAAACAGAATCGGTCAACAACCGAACATCCAATCTGTTCCACAGCCGTCAAACACCAGCCGCCCACGCCGAACTACTCAATCTGGTCAACAGCCAGCCGCAGTACAGTCTGGTCGACAGCCAGCGCGAGCCCCGTCTGGTCAACAGCCAGCTTCAGTACAGTCTGGTCGACAGCCAGCGACAGCTCAGTCTGGTCAACAGCCAGTGTCAGCTGCGGGTCAACAGCCCAATGGCATTCGCGGCCAACAGCCATCTCAAGCTGGTCAACAGCCAGCCGCTGGTCAACAGCCAGTTCCCGTCCTTCCTGCCGTTGCTGTCGTCGTTGATAACTCCGTTTCCGCCTAGGTCGTTTGCCCTCGCCAATTGCCTCTCAATTCTACTTCCTCTTCCTTCTCCGTGTGTGAGTCCTCAAACTTTATTAAATGTATTCTAATTAACTGTAGGTCACTGGTTTCCAATACTAAATTTCTCAATTTATTAGATTATCTCACTGCCAATCAAATTGACCTCTGTTTTTGCACGGAAACCTTTTTCAACGAAGTTCACCTAGACTCTTTTCTAACTAACAACTCTTACAATTTCTTTCGAGCGGACCGTCGCAATGACCACCGACGAACTGGCGGCGGCGGGGTTCTCCTGATGTACCGGAAATCCATGCTGGTTAGCGAGGTGGACTGCGGCACCGAGGTTGGTCACTGCAGACACTTTTGTGAGTTACTGGCTTTTGACCTCCTTACTAACGTCAATAGTTCCTCCGCCTCTACTAAAAATCAGATTTTTTTATTAACCTACAGACCACCCGACTGCAATATTGCAGAGACCCAAAAACCTTGTTGACACTTTGAGTAGAAACTTAGCTTTTTCTAACAATGTCGTACTAGGCGACATTAATGCTCCTCATATTAACTGGGATCTTGACATATCCACCTCAACTCATCCTTTAATCAACTTCTGCACGCAAAATTCGCTCAATCAAATCATCAACTTCCCAACCAGGTTATCTTCCAACGGCAACCCATCATTACTCGACTTAATCTTCACTGACCGCCCCGACTTATTTTTTGATCTTTGTTCCAAAAATCCTCCTATCTACACTGACCATTTAGCCATTTTCTTCAAAATCAATTGTTCCGCACGCAAAAAAAACGGTAAACCTTTTCGTCTTGACTACCGTCGATGCAACTTTGCACGTCTCAACCTAAGTATGATCAATTACAATTGGGATAGACAGTTTTCATATTTTTCTAGCATCGACTCCAAATTTAATCATTTCAACAAAATTTTCAACGAGCTCATACGGGACAACTGCCCAGTTCTCAAACCACGCAATCATCGCGGTTCCAACTTTTTACGCAACTTCTCTTCCAAAATTCTCAAGCGTCTTAAACGCTTCAATCTGCGCACCTCCTTCGGTCGCGTAAATTTCAAAATCAGTACCTCTAAATTTCGTCGTAAAACTCTACGTTGGTTCATTAATCATGAAAGAAAAATTGCCGCTGGCTCAAATGCCAGTATTTCCAAGTACATTAGTTCTAGGTTAAAACTTCGTCATGATATTCCACCCCTTATCTCCAATGGCAGGTCTTTCATTCTACCATCCGAAAAAGCTAATTTATTTGTGGACACTTTCTCCAAAAATCGTAATTTGCATAGTTATGATACACCCACTCTCTTTCCAAGTAGGAAACCTTTGACTGTTGAACCTGATTTCAGCCCTTACGCCATCTTCAAAGCCTTAGGCAAATGCCCATCAAAAATTGGCTTTTCGACTGACTTTATCAACTTTTTTGTTCTCAAGAATTGTCGTGATTCGTTAGCTATTCCACTCTCACTCCTATTTAACGAATCTTATTGCACGGGCTCTATCCCCAAAACTTGGTCCACTTCTCATATAGTCCCTATCTTCAAAAAAGGCGATAAAAGCGATCCTAATAACTACCGACCTATCGGATTGACGTCTCACATTGCTCGTTTAATGGAAAAAATAATAGCTATCTCTATTAGATCTAAATTCAAAAACACTTTTTCTAATTCTCAATTCGGCTTTTTAAATCATCGTTCTTGTAAACTAGCTCTTCTCGATTGCATCACTCACTGGAAGAGATCCCTAGCTCTTGGTAATAACGTAGACGTAGTATATATCGATTTTTCTCAAAGCCTTCGACATGCTCCCCCATAACCTTCTGCTCGCCAAGCTCCAAGATTTCGGTTTCGACCAAAAAAACTTATTAGCTGGTTTCGCATCCTTCATATCCAACAGAAAAATCATTTGTCATTAGTGAAGGTATCATATCTAGCTCGGCTTTTAACATTACATCTGGAGTTTTGCAAGGAACAGTCTGCGGCCCACTCCTATTTATAATATTCATTAATGACATTATCAGCAACTTATCTGATAATGTAAAAGGCTTATCTTTTTGCTGATGATCTTAAAAATTTTTTTCTGACGATCCTATAGCGCTTCAGCAAGGTCTCAACGACGTTTTCCAATGGTCTAGTCAATGGGGTCTTCCCTGGCCGAACACAAAACCACCCTTCTCCATCTAGGCCGTAGCAACCCTCATGTTCAGTATACTATAAATAATATAACTATCTCTTCCGCGGAAGCTGTTCGCGATCTAGGCATTCTTATTGATAACAAACTAACATTTGAGCCTCACCTTCGTAAAGTTATAGCCTTATGCAAACTAAAAAAAGTAAACAAATCATCAGAGCGTTCCGCGCCCTGTCTCCCCGCTCTAATGAGCCGGATTTTTTTCTTACTTACGTTGCTCCCTATATGGACTACTGTTGTGAGTTGTTCAGTCCCCCCCTAGCTTCAGAACTATCTTACACCCTCGAAAACATCTTCCGTCAATTTACTCGCCAAACATTCATGAGATCAAACATTAGGTTTTCTAGTTATGAAGACAGGTTAGCTCAGATTAACACAAACTCTCTTTTTAGAAGACGAGTCGAATTTTGTCTAAGAACACTACATAAAAATCTATATTAAGGAGAGTCATTTGCCAGTTTCTCACAGTGTTTTTCAGGAGATCAAATTCGGTACGTGCTCCATCACGTCTTATCAGAGTAGGGATTCGTTTCGAAAAATTTCTTTGAGACGTTCATCCCTCTTTGGAATAAACTGGCTACATTGGGAAACCTCAATGTTTCTCCAGATCGTTTCAGGTCTTTGTTACTATCCCTCGATAACAATTTCCTTTTTTTGGATCTATTCCCAGCAGACTCCGTTGAACCAGGCACCCGTGCTTTCAGCCCTACTCTAATCCATCTTATGCGCGTCTATATCATTACAAACGATTAAATTCCCCACTCACCTGTGCTACACTGTGTCATAACTTATACTTTCTTTTACCATTTACTTTATTTTTACCTTTGCGCAAATCCTCACCTCTTATTCTTTCATTACTGGCTCAGAGGCTCGTGAGGGGCCTCAAGTGCCTTTTATTTATTTATTTCAGGCTTAATGCCAAATTTTTTTCTCTCTCTGTACATATTATTTTGTTCTGCCTGTAAATAAATAATATTATTATCTTATTCTAGTGCATCAAGAAGTATTTTTGGCCAATTTTCAGGAAAAATCCCAACTTTAAAGTGAGGAGAAGCCCAAATCAAAAAGTTTCAAATTTCGATTTTTTTCAGAAATTCAACAGTTTCTCACTGATTTTTTTCTCATCCACAACCTTGAAAATATTCTGAACAAAAATATTCAATATAGACGCCCTGAGGCGTCGGAAGCTTGTTAGGTTGTGAATATATATGTCCCATTCTCTATTTTTCGCCTCTTGCCTCTCATTTTCTCACTCGTTTTTTTTTCCATCTCTTGGGACCCTCCCCACCATGCATTTTTCACTAATATGGGTGGCTTTTTACCACAAAAAAGTGGGTTTTTGTGGAAAGTTTTGGGAATATTTGTGGCTGGAATTGTTGGATGAATTCTCTGTGATATTAAGCGATTTATGAGGAGATTTCAAGCAATTTGAGAAATTTGGAAAGGAAAAACTGAAGTTCAAGATGGAAAAAAATGAAAAAAATATGTTGCTGGAATAGATGGTTTTCTCAAGATTTATCTTTCAAAATTGGCGATTTTTTTCGGGAATTTCCGAGCGATTTGAGACTTTTTTTCGAGAATTTTACGATGATAAAATCGTTGATATTTGAATTCGCTGTTGATTTTACAAGTTAAGTCCTGATTTTTCTATGCGATTTTGAGCTTTTTATATGAATTTTTCATCATAAATATCAATAATTTTTGTGGATTTTTTTGCGAATTTTTTTGTTTGAAATTGGTTTTTCCAGGTGTTTTTTTCAACGATTTCTTCTTTTTAGATAGGAAAAATAGCGATTTTCACCCAAATATAGCATTCTTTTCGATGTATTTTGTAGATTTTAGTATTTATTTTGTTTTAATAATTCTTTATAATTGAGTTTTTACTGCTATTTCCTAGCCATTTGGTAATTTTTTTTTCACGAAATTCTCAATTTTTGAATGATAAAACTGTTTTTTGGAGTTTTCCATCGATTTTTCCTGCTAATATGTCAGTTTTTAACGGTTTTGAGCTCTTCCGACTGTGAGAATACGAATTTTGAATAAATTCACATTTTTCACTTTAGATTTATTCAGATTATTCTACTTTGAAGTCACTTCACTAGCCATTTTAGGCTTTTGAAGCCTTTTTCACTATTTTTGTTTTCTGAGTTTATTTTTCCAAGTTTAGTTCACTCTCAAAAAACGAATTTTTTCAGCTTTTCCCAGTTCAAATTCTGTTTTCCACGGCTTTTCTTCGTCGTTTATAGCATTTTGAAACACTTTTCCAATACACTTTTAATGATCCACATGAACATTTGTGCGAGAAAAAAAAGAGCCGAGAGTAGGGCAATTGTTACACAATGAGAGGGCCAAACGGAACGGATGTACATTGACAAAAGTGTCCATTTTTTATTTTGGTGTTGCCTTTTTTTGTTAAATTTTTGAATGATCCTACTTTTTGAGTGTCATTGAACTATTGAAAGTTGCGAGAAACTCGAAAAATCAGAAAAAAATCAGATTTTTCGTGTTTTTTTGGGAAAAAAATTTTGACATTTTTTTGTCCAATTTTCAATCATTTTGTCTTGTTTTTCTTTCGATTTGAATTTTTTTGTTTACTTTTTACTTAAAATATTAAATAAATAATCCAAATATCATCGCCAATGAGCCTCATTTGTACGTCAAAATTGACAGATTTCAACAAAAATGTAGTTTTTTCTGAAAAATCGACACAGAAAATGTTAATCTTAACTCAAGAATTGAATTAAGATAGTGATTATTTGTCTCTGATCACTTCACTGTTTTGCGAAGGGTT